ATATACACACATTATATATAAGTATCTACATGTTGTATGCACCATAACTGTACACAAGCTTGTAGGGTGCCCAAAGAGCATAGTGGCCACCTTCCACACTGCCAGACAAGTCATGCAGACGACCCCACTTTCGTCACCCAAATGGCTCCTCTCAACATAATTCTTTTGCTGTTATTACACTAATACACACATTATATATAAGTATCTACATTTATGTTTTCTATAGGAATCAGAGCTGGTATGGTGAATGCAGACAGTAACAGGTGGCCACACAGTCAGTAAACGATGCTATCTCCCTCCGTCCCTCAACATTACTCCTCCCACAGCACTAATTATCACAACAATCCTGCTATTATCACAATCCTGGTCATTTTTATCACAGTCAGGGGTCATGTGTAATACTGTCATCGCTAAATAATAGCAGTTACATATTTATTTTGACATTTTTAGGTAATGCTGTGGTCACAAGCTGAACAACAATGCTGTTAGCTCATGCTGCATGCGCCAGCCTTAGTTGCTCCCACAGTACTGTGGCTCTCACGCTGGAGGATATTGCTCATGATTTTTTTTTAAACATGGCATTTGTTCACAAGAGCCCTGAGGAAGCTAATGTGAACCCCATGTAGCCGCGGGCCATTTGAATCGTGCCTGGCACCCTATGGCGTATACGCCATGCGCACAGTGGGACATGTTACTCATGGCATACATATATGCCATGTGCAGTTTAAAGGTTAATGCATTCACAAGAACACTATATTGTTGAATGTGAAACCGTAAAAGATTTTAGACCTCCTGGCCTATTGTACCACCAACTGTGTAACTATTTCATTGAAACTGGTGTATTGGACGACATCGTAACAATTTATCCAATATTTGCTTGTCCATTTTAACCCTTAGACCGTGCATATTACTGTGAATATAGGGGGCATAGTAGCAAAAAACATTCAAATTATGTAAAAATAACTTAAAAATGTTAAACTTAAAATAAGTTTTGAATGGGTGAGATGCCGAGCTTGCTTGAACGCTGAAGCTTCGGCGACTAATCTGAGTATCTAGTGGGCCATTTTTGGTAAGCAGAACTGGCGCTGTGGGTATTTTACCGGCGTTAGTTATCCAACTTATTGGCTTCAGTGTCATGAAACTTTCATCAAAATATTTTCAGAAATTGATTTTAGAGGAACTTTTGAAAAATAAAAGCGTTTTATTGATAAGGAGAACAGCTCCTAATAACTGAAACTGAAGGATTATGCAGTAATAGAGAGATGCAAGCACCTGTTCAATGCTCAAAGAACAACAATAGTAGTAAGAAGTGTCCACAAAGTGAATATGCAGTTGGTGCCTTTATATCATTGCTGAGTAATACATATTAACACAAATAATAATGAATAACTATGTTAATATGATATATTTTGTTATATATCATATAAATTCATTGTCCAATGTTAATATATGTTACTTTCATCAATGTCCCAAAAATATTTCTTTTGGGGTGTGGGGAATTTTTTTTTTTTTTTTTTTTTTTTTTTTTTTTTTTTTTTTTTTAAGATTTTAGTTTTTTTTTCTCCTTTGTTTATTATCTAATTTTGTTGTAACCTTTACATCCTGGAGAATGCATATGTTTTCATAACTATGTGAAGATAGAATGAAATTGATCAACAAATAAATCAGTCAACTCGCAAAACTTGGGATTTTAATTTTTTTTGGCTGATATTTTCTCTGATTTCAAACTTTATTTTCTTTGTCTCTTTAAGTTGTTTTGATGATTAGGGACCATATTAGGGTTTTTTCACTTATATAAAGTATACCCTAAATATATCCCCTAAATCATTATAATCATTATAATTATCCCTATATTTTGTGTTTTTTGGGGTTATTTTTTCTTTACTTCATTTCAACTCATTGACCGACAACTTTCACATATTTGAGTACAAATGCCAAACAATGTTTATTAAAACATACAATTAAATTAACTAATTAAAACTACCTTTGCTCATTGTTGATAACTTCAACTTCAATTATCCCTGAAACTACAGTTTCAACTTTGAGTGACTTCTAAAATTCCAGTTATTAACCGATTCTCACTATTTTGACATATTGTGTGCTCAGCTGTCTGTTCTACAATCCCTTCAGAATGGATTTTTCATAAACTTTATACATTTGGAGTTATGTATAATTTTTTTGGGTTTACATTTGCCGCATATTTCAAATGCCCTATTGACGATTTTTTTTTTTTTTTTTTTACAATAAACTATACTGAAAATCTGGATTCTAATTTGATGAAAATGAAGCTCATATGCTGACAGAATAATAACATTAAATGAACAATTAATGATAGTTCATATTTTCTGAGGGGAGCCTCGTCAGCTCCCCGGAGCTTACTAGGCTGATATGCTAATGTCAGACTTTGGCATCAGTCATGTATGTGTATGGAGTTCTGTAGGCTACCGAGGTCCACGAGCCAGAACCTGGCCCCCCTCAGAGAGGCATGGGAAGCAATAGCCTGTAGAAACCCCAGGATAGTTGGAAGCATTCTATGTCTGCCATCAACCGGGTCTGGCACCCAGAAAGGTAAGCATCCGAAAACAAACCTCTATTCTGGTTAAAATATTGGTACGAAAAGCCGAACAAGTGGATAGAACTCCCTTAAAAGAAACTAGCAAACGAGCATGACGTCACACGTTGCCACGCCAATGTCTGTGCAGCTCCCCCCTTCCCGGTAGGGGGAAGAGGGAGCCCCAGACCCCCTATGCCAGCTATCCACCCGTCAGTTCTAAGGCTGATGCTAGAGGCGGAGGTCGTGTGCTCTGGCTCCAGTGGTCTTTCAGCACTGTGCTTCGAGTGTGGTGGCTGTATTCCAGTAGTGCAAGAGTAAAGAGTTATTCTACCGTGCTCGGGCTGCATGCGCCTAGGGTTACCTTCCCTAGGTGCCCTGTAAGTACTGTCCTGCCCTTGGGACTTGGGGTTGCCTTCAACAAATTCCTTGGGTTCTGCCTCTGTTGCATTGTTTACCTGCTCGGTTGTTCGGCCGCCTTTGGATGCTTGGGTGTTTTGTCTCCCTTGTTTACCTTAGGGTAAGAGGCAGCTTGCACTGGTACGCAGCTTGTTTTTATTGTTCAAAGTGGCCGGCTCTGTTCCTTGGGATACGTTGTCCTCTTGTGGGGTTTTGTTTTTATTTTTGTTTTTGCCTTATAGGGGGGGGGGGGGGTCAGCTTTGCTTGCCCCTTGATTTTTTACCTGATATGGTTCTTCTGGTGGTGCCCCCTGTTGGGTCCTCGTGAGTGTACATGTCCCTGGGGTTCAGCTTTAGACAGTTGTTTGGTAGTTTTGGGCACCAGTTTGCAGTACCCTGCCTGGGATTCCCTGAGCGTGAGTACCATCTCAGGACCCTGGGAAACCCCAGGGATGAATGTGACCCCGGAGTCCCCACTCGCTCTGTGCGAGCTTGAGGGTTGCTCTGTCCCCTTGTCTCAGGGTGACTCACGTCGGTGTCCCCCCGACGCACCTGGGTGGACACAGACGTGTCCCCCCGACGCACCTGGGTGGACACCGACGTGTCCCCCTGGTGCGTCGATTCCGTCTTTCCGGAGGTTTTTGGCTTACCGTATCCTACCGTCTGCGGTGCGGGTGGCCCTTGCAGCTTACCTCCTGCGTGACCCGGATTATGCCTCACTTATGGATCTGTCTTCATTCAGGTTTGGGTTTTCCTTTCCTTTCTGGGTCCGTTACGAGGTTCCGGAGTCGTCCTGGCTGGCTGACTGTCCTGTGTTTGCCTTGGAGGCTTGGCATTCCTTCTGTCGTACCCGCTCGCTTGAGTGGCACGAGGCTTCGACAGTGGTTCAGGTTTTCCTGGGAGGTGATCTTGAGCACCTCAATAAGTGTTTGTTTGCCCCGGCCCTTCCCCGGGATGTTGGCTTTCTGCAGCTCCATGTGCAGGGTCCCACCCTTTCGGCGACGCAGGTTGCTGAGGAGTTGTGCGCCCGTGGCTTTTTGGCTTTGGCCTTGTATTTCTATTCTCTCCTGGAGCTGTCTTCGGACTGGCTTGCGGAAGATGTGGGGACGCTTGGGGCCGTTCCTGGGTCTGGTGCCTTGGGCCTGGTTGCTCGCTTGTTGGCTGCCTTGTTGAAGCTTTTTGCGCCGATCTTGCAGGAGGCGGTTTCCCTGTTTTATGCTTCCTGGCTCGTGTGTAGGCAAGCGATGCTTGCCTCCTCTCTGGAATCTGCCTGGGCCCTGGATCTTAGGGCGTCTTCTCCTTCTCCTATTAGGCAAATCAGGCCTTGTATAGTAGGCAGAGAAGTGCATTCTGGCTACTAGGTACGACATATATATATATGTATGTATGTATATGTATGTATGTATGTGCCGAGGGCACCTGCCGTCATGCAACGTCATGCCCTGGGCTCCATGCCATTGGTCAACAACGCCACACCCCTACCACTAACCAATCAGTAGACGGCTGGTGCTGCTCCCCCGTAGCCCCACTCCCTTGGTGGAAAAGCTATCCTCCTGAGGATCGCCTCCACCATATTTATCCTGGAGGAAACGCTGGAAGCCTCAAACGAACAAAAATAGCAATTTCTTTCAAATGTCACATCAGGTTTCCTCCTAAATGTATAAAATCAACTCACAGTTCTTCTAGTTATGTTCAAATCAGGAAGTCATGGCTTTTTATGCGGGAAATAGGACAAAACAGGACTGAACTCCGTCACAGGAACAATCTCAGTGAGTTGACTTCAGGGAGCCACCAGGGATCACCTAGAAAAAGAGATTTCATTACATTCAATGCTGGGTATTTTTAGTCTTAAGTATTACTGTATTAAGTATTTAGTATTTTTATTCATAAATCTTAACAAAGTACTAAGTGGATCGTTTAAACACGAGGTGTCTGGAAATGCATCCCTGTATAGAACTGGAAGCAGAATACATTGTATTTTTGCTTTAGATGGACTTTATATTTTAATTGTAGGCAAATTGTTAATGCTTTATTTTATCTACTTTTACAGGAATATGCAAATAACCTCATAGAATCTGGAGTTCATGGTGCATTAGTAGCCTTGGACGAGAGCTTTGACTACAATGCTCTTGCTCTTGCTTTACAAATTCCTACACAAAACACTCAGGTATGTATTATATGTTGCCCTGTTTCCATTTATCATTAAAGCCATATTTGAACTTATGAATGTTTACAGTACAGTACTGTATGTCACTCTTGGCATGTAGGTGTGTCACTCTTGGCATGTAGGTGTGTGGATGTTACCTGCAGCAAGAATGTCACAGTACAAATAGGAAATATGAGTTTTAGCAGCTAAGTACTGTACATTTCCAGAACATTAACCACAAAGGTATATTGATGTTTCTGACGTATCACTTACAGTTGCACTTAATGGCAAATTTCTAGTGACCTTTGGATTAGAAATATTGTGTCATGACTTGCTCCAGTGACAAATTTTACAGGACAGAGCTGATTCATTAACAGAATTCAAGTTGTTTATATTGTCCTTAGCGGGTTTGGCTCGTTTTGTACACTAGGCTTAAGTTACATATGTGAACACTTTTTTTGTTTGTAGAGAATCTGAATATGTGCCTCCATGTATTTTCTAAAGTTATCGCCTCATATGTTTCTCTCATGATGCAATGCAGTGAGTTCACTCACAGTACACTACTGTTACTCCAGCTGGAGGCTTTCCTCACATTTTCTTGTTCTGTCAACCAAGTTAGAGGTCTAGGCTAGCCTATACCTCATTTAGGCGACCAGGCTTTCTCTTGCACACTGAGCTATAAATTGGAGTACTTGGTGATCTTGCATCATCATTGCCTCCCCCACCATGTATATTGTCTATGACTCAATATTTTGGGGACTATACCCACAACAATTGGTGAGTTCTGGTTGAAGGAATGTCAAAGGAGTTACTTATACTGGTGGGCCATCTTTTCGGTGACTCACTGTTGCTAGCCTCAATGAGATAGCTCCACGCATATAAATCAAATCAGCTTTAGGAGTCCTTAATAGTTTATCAGAGACCAAAACTTGGCTCCCTCACACCTTCTTAGAGGTGCAGAAAACAGCGAGATTCTAGATTACCTTCACTGAAAAAAAATATAAAAAATAAAATAAACCCTAGAAAGGAAGCAAAGCAAAACAGAAAACTTCAAGATTCACAGAAAGTAAACAAACAATGCAGCAAATAACAATCCATCCAGTTACCAGTGGTTAAGTAATGACCCCCTCCTCTAGTAATAAATAGCCACTGCCAGGTGGCACCACTACGGCTCCCTGTGTCAACAATCCTCGATCCTTCATCTTATGTCAGACAAGTCAGGGTGTCTCTCCCTACTTCGAGTGGTTTTGCACTGCCTGTAACCTCGTCATTCTGTCATATGTTGGATCGGCCCTAGGTAACTTGTCAGTTGGTTGAGTAGTTGTGCAGAAGCCTAAACTTTGCCTGCTTGATTTTCCTGCTGGGCGGGATTTGGTTCCAAGCATTGTAGCAGTTTCTCCAGTTGCACCCACTCCATCTCTCCAGGGACTGGTGTTAGGGCACGAGCTTCTTTCTACTGCTCCTTACTTAATAAAGTAGGGGAGGGTATATATGATGATCCCTATGGGTATTAGTAAACCACCTCAGAGTACAGCAAGACTCAGTGTTACACCAGGCCTTTCCAGGACATACCTTATGCAGAGCTCCTCCTTCATACAGCAAATTGGGTAAAAGGGTTTTGCTAATACTGTAATAGCTTCTGAAATCATACAGGGGTTAATTTCTATAGGCTTAAGCTTAAGCAGTACAAAATATATCTGGAGCATGGTTGTAATTTGAAAACACTATTGAAAAAGAATTTTACAAAGATGTTACTAGTCCCAAAAACTCAAACTCGGTTAACAAACAAATTTATTCTAAAGCTCTACTTTTTCACAATTCAAACTGGAACACTTGAAGAGTGTTCTTGCAGGATTTTGGTACACAGTTACCTGCTAGTGTACACTGAGCATTATGCAATGTGACTAACAGCCTTTAACAAGCCACGTGACCCAGGACAACAACGAGGCTAAAAAAATCTACTCAGCAGAACGGAAAATTACACAAAAACTGCCAGCTGTCATGGGGACATGTACATGACCAATCCTATTCCTAGTCCTATATAAAATAGCACCACAAGTGCAATAAAAGTCCATGCATTAGTTACCCAGGTGGATGACCATCCAACTTGACCTAACAAGTGGAGTCGAGTGTCCAAACACCACCACCGCTCAGAGAGACGTGAACGATCATATCTATTGTTCACACTCGCTACTCATCCTGTGTTCCAAAGTTTTCTGGCTCCCCATCTATTTGTTTTCATTTCTTATTTTGTTTAAACTAGTTTTCCACATTTAACACTTTTATTTTCCACATGCTTTCCAGTCACAAAATGTACTTGGAATAATCTCTCATATCAATATGAAGCACTTGTTTACATCTTTTCTGTGGGGAGCCCCATCAGCTCCCTGAAGCTATCATCACTGATTAAGTGCCATACTACCAAGCGCCATCAGTTGCAGAGTTTTTTTATGCCTACCGGGGACCACGAGCCAAACCTGGCCCCCTCAGAAAGGTGCAGAGAGCGATGGCCTATGATCACTTTACATTTAAGGATATCATCTATGCCATCACCAGAGAAAGCACTCAGAAAGATAGGTGAATCGAAACAAACCACTGCATGGTTTAAAAACTTAACCAAAGCCCCCAAAATGCCGAAAAAGAAGTACCCCTAATAATAAAAGATACAACAAAACTTAGTGAAATTAGGCCCCCACTAGTTAACTCCACTTACCCCCTCTCTGGGGGGAAGGGGGGGGGGGGTAGCTGACCCGAGGCACCCAGGCTGGGCTGACTGGCTTTAGTTATTTCCTGATGTGCTTAGACAGCCCAATATTTAGTCAGTGTTGGGACCAGTCACCAGTCGGTCTTGTGATGATTTGGGCCATGTCTTCCGGCCTAGGTTTTCTTCTTCATCCCTGAGCCTGCTGTTCCATTTTTCTCTGAGCTTAGCTTTAGGGAGCCACTGAGGGCTCACTCTATAAATCCAGCAGTGAATGTAATGAAACGCCTCTTTCTGGAGGAACCAGGATGACTCCCTAATTCCCTACCCCCCCCCCCTTTCCAGGTTCACTAGTTCACCGTGATGTTTTTAATCAGCTCCAGAACCGAAAATGGAAACCCACTGAGCTAGGGCTGAGGCCAGGCCACCTAGTAGTGGTAATCTGTACCAATGAGTTATATGCTAGTTTGAGTGAATCCTTTGCTCTGTGAAAATAATTTGCAGAGTTGTTTGGAAGTTTGAAGGCTTTGTTTTCTATGACTGTCTCCGGTTGTTTGTAAACAACAGGAGATGTTGCAGATGTTCTGGAAGCTTTTTTCAGTTGGGTGATGGATTGTCACTCACTCCTTGTACCTCTTGTGATCGAGGACAGGTTCTGGCTCTGGTCGCCAGTTGGTCAAACAGAAATTTTGTGACTGTTGTGATCTTTTAATATGAAGCATTCTCAACAAGATACATGTAGCTGTAGGGAGCCAGCGAGGCTCTAGAAGCTTTGCATTACATTCTGTGCTAGATTTTTCTTAAAGTTGTGGCATGGAATTTGCTTCAACAACCTCTTCCATCAATGCATTCCACTTGCTGATCACTGGTACAGCAAGATTTTTCTTATATCTCTACAACTCATTTGCATATCCAGCTTCCATAGATGTCACCTTGTCCTACCACATTTTAATTTAAATAGACTTCCTTTGTCTATGTTGTCTAGTCCCTTTCGGATCTTTTATGTAGTGATCATATCCTCTCTGCTTCCCTCCTTTAACCTCCGTGCTGTGCAGCCTAAAATATGACATTCCCACTGTGCGCCGAAAATAAATTCTTTGCAAAAAATTTTTTTCTCTTCTTATATTGTTAAAATACAGTCTCTGATCATGGGAAACTAAGAAAAAAAAATTGGTATGTGACATACTTTGGCTGTGATGAAGCTGAGAAGTTGAGCGAATATATTTGCGCTGAGCAATGGAGCGCTCAGGGTCACTCGACCCTGCCACCCAGTGGGGAAGGCAGTTGCCGCGGATATAATTTTTCACAATTACCCGTACAGTATTTTGATGTTTCTCATTCGTTTCTTCTCTGGTTTTTTGCTGTAATATTATTCAAAAGTGTGTGATTTGTGGAATTTATATAGTTCAATGTGTGGAACATCGCTATGCTCAAAATTATAGGGCTTGTATATGTGACATATATATTATATTCTACGATCAATCAAACAGTGTTTTTGCTGTTATTACACTATATATATACACACACATTGTATATACCTATCTACATATGTGTTCACCATAACGAACCACTAAGTTGGTAAGGAGGGTCAAAACAACAAGACTGGCCGCGACACAGCAGCAAGTAGATGCCACCTCCCTCCCTCCTTCAACACCTACTTGCCAACCTTCCTCCTCCCACCATACTGTTATTTTTTTTATTACACTATTTACACATACTATATATAAGTATCTACATGTTTTGTTCACCATAACTGTACAACTAAGCTGGTATGGTGTCCAAACAACATAGTGGCAGCCACAAAAAACTGCATGACAAGTGACACAGCATCTAGAAGACGACAGCCTCACTCACTCCCTCACCAACACCTGCCTCACCGAAATGGCTCCTCCCAACATACTTCTTTTGCTGTTATTACACTATATACACATGTTATATATAAGTACAGTGTTATGGTTGAAGGCTGAAGAGAAACAATCTTCATCCACATGGTTTTATTCTCGGCCAATAACCACAACAACAAAACAATTATCAGGTACATGAAATATTATTAACAAGATCATAAACAAAAGAGCATCTGCTCCAAACATGCTACTTCCAACATCTGTAGTACTCAATCCCTACATACAGTATCTACATTTGTGCTCACCATAGCAAACCACTAAGTTGGTATGGTGAATCAAAACAACGAGAGTGGCTGCCACACACCAGCCAGCTAATGCTACCTCCCTCCCTCTTCACCAAGATTCCTCCTCCCACCATACTACGCACATCGCTATCACAACAATCCAGCTATTATCAGAATCCTGGTCACTAAATTCTGTAAATGAATAATTTTCCACAAATTTATTTTGTAAAGGAACATGAGAAGTCATTTCAAGATTCTTAGATGTACCAAAATGGCAGCGTGCTGTGGCTAGTGCTGTGAACATCTTGAACAGCATTGTGTTCACTGATATCTGAACATTGTACACAGTCGTTATTACAGTCAGGCACTTCTGTAATACTATCATGGCTAAATAATACCAGTTACATATATATTTTGACAGTTTTAGGCAATGCTGTGGTCACAAGCTGAACAGCGGTGCTGTTAGCTCATGCTGCGTGCACCAGCCTTGGTTGCTCACTCTGTACTGAAGGTCTCACACCCGGGAATATTTATTGCCTACAATTTTTTTTTTTTAAATGGCATCTTTTTCCAAGAGCCCTGAGAAAGCTGATATGAACCCCATGTAGCCATGAGAGTTTTGAATGCTATGCTATACCTGGCACTCTGCACAGTGCGGCGGTTAAATCTGTGATTTCTCTCAACCTGTCCTCATAGCTGAGCCCCTCTCAATTCTGGGACTGATCAAGTAGCAAATCTCTGAATTGTCTCAAGTTTCTTATTGTGCTTCATGAGGTGTGGGTTCCATGCTGGTGATGTATTAATTACCAACAATTTCTGGTTCTCTTCATCCACAGGATTTTGTAAATATTCATTCTTCAAAGCAATTTTTTTTAAATATTTTACCCTTACAAACTACTATGTTGACAGTTATTTATCATTTTGGGTAAAGTATATTTTTAACAATGATTATGATTATTTAGTCTTTAAAATCTGCACTCACTTTCATTGGTGAAAGTCTGCTTTCAACACTGGTACAATCATGTCTGCCCATTCACTATGAATAAGCTCTAAAAATGCCTTCTGCCAGTAGCTTTTCAAGAGCTGTTTCCCCTAATTCCTTGTAATGAAGAGGAACTCTTCTTACTTCAACAAATTTAGGGAACTATCATTTGTTACATGAAATTCATCAACTCTGTTGTATATAGGCCTATCCTGATCCACTGAATATTTTTCCAACATGTCTTTGGCACTATTAGTTTTCTCCACCATTGACAGTTCATCCAAACCAACCAGGAAAGTTATGGCCTTATCCATTAGGTCTTTTCCACACAAGATCAGATTATGATTCTAGAACAAAAATCTCGGACAAATTCTTTATGATTATAACCTTTTACAGAAACTTTTTCATGAACATTACTTTTCAAATTCTGAGGTTTGTTTTATCAATACAGTATATTTACATGTGTGATATCCTCCCTTGGAATTTACGTCGAGCCAACCCTGTCTAAGCACGATATTTTGGTTTTTATTCTCTTATGCTATCATGAGACCTCTATTTGTAATTGACTTATAAGTCATTTTTAATATCGCAGTGAATTTTTGGTTTGCTTGTATTAATAATTCTTTGTTTTTCAGGCAAGACAATTATTAGATCAGGAATTTCGTAGTCTGCTTTCAACTGGAACAGATCGAACAGACATAAATAAATCTTGATATGAGGCCCCCGCAGCTAAGGATGCTGAAGCTAGACTTGTTTAACAAATCCAAAGAAGAAGGGCAGGATGACCAGCAACAACAGAACCCATGGTTGTTGTTCATGCCCTTAATTTCCCAGCCTCACCTTTACCCAACCCTACAATAGTAGTTAATTCCTTCTACTGTTGACTCCATACAGGTGATGTTGATTGGTCTAGGGTGTATAATAAGGGCAAATTACTCTGGTGATTTACTGTCATACACAAAACTGCATGCTGTTGCTTGTTATGGGGTTTGGGCACTGTAGTAGACTGCAAGTGTCCTGAGCTGGACTCGGATCCCTTGGAGGATCGCGTATCGTCTGCCTTGTCATTTATATTCACTAAGAGCTTCTGCAGTCTGTGTGTGTTTCACTCACTGGTGATGTAAAAGGTGATTTTATTAAGATAAATTGTTAGTGAAATAACAAGCTGCAAAGACTGTGACATTATGGCAGTGCTAAAAGAATCACCTTCTCGGAACCTCTAGTCGACGGTGGCTATAAATCAGCAGACGGTGATGTGGTTTGGCATGATCTGTTAATCTAATACTTGATGCTGGGTTTACCTTAGTGTTAAACAACTCAGCCTAGTTTGGTTGAAACTGCCTAGTACTGTGCAGGGCTGTGAATCAGGATATATTATACTGAATTGACATATTGATAGATATACAATGATTGTTGTGTTAGTTGAAGCAGATTGGTACTGTACAATCATGTCAAACACTTGCGACATACACAGAAAGATAGGGACCTTCAACTACACAATATAGATATGAGTCTAGCTGGTTTCTTCAAAGAATGAGTTTGATTGCCTGGTAATGTTTGGGAAATACATTACCAGATAATGTGCTTAAGTATATACAGGAATACATGTTGTATAGAAGTGTGAATGAAGCAGTAAATGGAATGTTGGTGTGAATTGCTAAAAGGGTGCATGTGGATATAAATGAGTATTAATGGAGCATGTAGGTGTCAGTGATGATATTTTGGGTCCTATACAAGGAAGTGAATATTACCGGCTAGTCATGTTGAGGCATGTGAGTGAGGTTATGTTGTCTGTATGTGTAATCTTTACCTGGTCCTGTATAGGGGTGTCATGTATGTGTTTCAAAAATTTCCAGAAATTTTTATTTTTTAGGCTTTTCAGTAATTTAAAGGATATCAGTTAGGTGTTTTACACTATGCAGAATAATTTGGTTGCTCAGTATTGGGAAATTATAACTGAAATGCAGAGGTAATACAAGTTTGTGCTGTGCGTCCAGTGTGACTGGAACTGCCAGATCAGGTACAAGACTTTTTATTGCTATTGAGTAATGTTTAGCTCATTTGGAGTACCTCCAGTTCATCACAGGAATACAGTATATGTGTATCTGGTGCAATGTCTGTACGCACATATGATTTATAATGTAACCGTCTGTGTATTGCCATCATTGTTGAATCACAGTGTCTTGATTTTAACTATATTAACTTGAGTCAGATAAAGTGGAAATTTGCAGGTGGAGGTGCAGAGCAGGATAACGGCTAGTTAAGAATATGCATGGTGACTAGAAGACAAAAACTATCTTCCATACTTTACATGCCAAACTTGTCTTTGTAATTAATATATGTAAAAAAAAAAGTCTCCTCATGATCAAGATCTTGGCAAACAGTGTCAATCTGCTTAAATGTTATGAGTGATAACTGGTCAGTTGTGTATTGGAGTTTATGAAGTGTACTTGCTGTTATTAGGAAGACAGAGTTGGCCAGTTGACCTGTGAATGAGCTATGTTGTCATAAGGAGCAGATATGGTCTGTACAATGCACTTTACATTGATGTTGAGTATGACTGATTGTTTCTGTGAAACTTGTGTAAGTAGTGTCCCATTCTCAACGTAATGTTCAGTGTAATGCCAGATATACTCACCTCACTGTTATATGTAAAGCTTCATGTTTACCTGATCATCTTGACTGTATTCATTCATGATGTAACTTTAGTTTTACTTTCATTTTGTTGTGGTGCTGTGTGGCTATAGTCCCCCTACCCTCAACCCCTTTCCTTGAGAAAAGAAAAGCTTTCTGTACACCTAATTTTGTGATTCTACAATAGCACTTTAAGAGTATTGCTTTTATAGTCCACATTACCCAAGAGGTGAGAGACTTCGTTGTTGCTGGAATGACTGGCTGGATTTCTTTCATCGTCCCTCTCACAAAATGCAGCTTAATTATGGCCAACTGCCTCATTTATAGTCATAAAGCTTTTTTTATTGTATTTATTAAATGTTCAAGAAATCATGCCAGTGAAAAGTTTTATATTATTATTTTATATTTCTCCTTTCTATATGTTTTTGTTAGATAAGTAAAATCTCACAAAATATTTAAATGCGATCTAATGTCTAAAGTGTTATCAAAGATAATAATGAGGTCTTATGTCATTCATCTGAATACGTCATAACTCTTGACTTCACTGATTTAAGGTATATGATAAGAATTAATTCTTTGACTCTTGACCTACATGTGACTGACTTCCCAACTTCACTGCCTCTTGACTTTCACACGCAGATCACTCTTGGTGTATGTGATTGGTGAGCCACTACATTGGCAACATTTCTGTGCCATGCGGTCATTCACATACACAACAAATGTATGCTCATTATATCCTTTCCTTGTAGCTGTAACCAAACTTATCATGAGTTTAGCTTACAAACTTATAAGTTTTTACATAACAGAATTCTGCCATCTTGCAGATATTTTAGCCGTGAACTCTTGTACAAAATAGTTATATTAAATTACATCTATTTTAATACATTACTTCTTGGTTGCATTAATATTATGTAAGTGTTCATTCTTTTTTATTTTCTATAGAGGTAAAGGTAAACTCAGTTCTTCATTTGAGGTTTTGCATAAATTGATTGATTGCTTCCAGCTCACTAAAATTTGCAATGTCAGATCTTATTGAATATTTTATTTATCAAAGAGGTCAGATTTTCAAAATTTGTACTTATCACGAAACCAAATTTAAAAACTGATCATTCTTAATTATTGCCTCTTCCAAATATTTTAGCTTATTCCTCAAGTGGCCGTCACCACACATAAATAATCTTGTTTTCAGAAAATGGTAAACTGAAGCTTTTTAGCTACAGTTTAAGTTTTATTTAAATAATTGTTCAACTCTTAAGGAATACACATTTTTCTCTCTCCACTGATGACAGCTCAAAATATCAGCAATACATACTGTTCTGTGCTGGAGAGTTGCCAACAATTCTTTTATTAACCCTTAGACAGCAGTTATCGTCATATGTTGATTCATGGGGTTATGCCGTTATTGTCATACGATGATTTAAACAATTATTGTCTGGGTTTTACATGTATGATGCTATGATGCAAATAAGTATATATAATAGCTCTCTGTGGATGCAATAAAGTTTACCTTGACCCATGACAAAATCCTGCTATTATTTCATGGTTACATTACTAAGTGAATGCGGTTATTGTCACGAATGTTTCTTGGTGAATGCATCATCATCATTGTGTAAAATTCCATCATAATTACATATGTATACCAATGATGTTCATGTGGTTTTTCACAACTCTGTATGGTTGTAATGAGGTATACCAGGTAAACGACTCATTAATTGAACCATCATGCGTTACATTTACTAGGAGCGTATTGTCATCTGTGGTGGCATATTGGTGGCTTAAGCCTTTCTTTCAATCTATACTCTTGCCCATATGATGCCAATTAGGTCCTGACATTGCCCAGAGCCCAACACCACTGTTTATTATGTTTACACACTTTTCACTACTCTCTACTGGTTGCAATGGAGCATACCAGGTAAACCAATTATCAGTTGAAACATTATCATGTGTTATGTGAATTATGTGATTTATCAAGTTATTCAACACATGTACTCTTGTAAATAAAGAGAAACAAGTGTTAAACAATCAGGGAAACAGCTGAGGAGAACACAGGAGCTTCAGTGGCAGCAAAGTTAGGCATCGTGTGTTGACAGACGCCAGAACTATTGCCACTGCAACGTTTCAGAGTGCCTCCAACTAGTAAAATGTAAAATATTCACTTATTTTCATGTTTTTCTTAAATTTTGCTTACAAAATAATAATTCTATAAAGAAAAATTTTTTAATGAAATGATTTTATTTTTTGCGCATAGGCAGGAATTGACCATTTTGATATAGCCGCTGTCTAAGGGTTAAATAATTTGTAATGAAAACTTAAAATATCAACATACTTATTAAATACAAATCATTGCAAAGTACCGTATATGCCGGCATATAAGTTGACATGTGAAGCCAAAAAATCTCTAAAACCAGGGGTCGACTGAATACTCAGCCACTTAGACTGGACGGTAGAGCGATGGTCTCGCTTCATGCAGCTCAGCGTTCAATCCCTGACCATCGAAGTGGTTGGGCACCATTCGTTCCCCCTGACCCATCCCAAATCCTTATCCTGACCCCTTCCAAGTGCTATGAAATCGAAATGGCTTGGCACTTCCCCTGATAATTAAAAAAAAATTCCTGCTGAATATAAAATGTGGATGCTGTACACGCATTGTACACCCCTTGCTATAACTTTCACAGTCCATCACAATTATTTCCTAATGAAACTCTTGTTTAATACTTGCTTGATGGGGTTCTGGGAGTTCTTCTTCTCCCCAAGCCTGGCCCGAGGCCAAGCCTGGTTTGGCAAGTCTATTTAATGTAGAGATTATAATAATATCAATGACTTACTGTAGGTTATTGTAGGTTCGTTAATACAGTACAGTGGTACCTCCGTTTTTTTAATTTAATCCATTCCCAGAGACGGTTCAAAAACCGAAAAGTCAAAAACCGAAACAAATTTTCCTGTGAGAAATAATGTAAATTGACACCCATGTGTCAATTTTCTTGGCACCCATGGTGTGATATACTGTATAATAAGAACTTTCATGTTCAGAAACAAAAATAATAAAATTCTTCACAAAGAATTCAAGCACAGTTATCACTAGGCGGGAGACACTGGAAAACTGAAGCACGCCATGCGCTCGGTCGGCCCATATGTGTATTGACAAACTCGAGCACCGAGGCAAACCTCGAGTACGGAGTTAAAATTTTTTAAGGAATTAGCTCGAGAACTGAAAAATTTGAAAATTGAGGTTCCACTGTACCAGTATTAGGTAAGGCTGGTTTACTCTGCGAGTTAGAACTCGCTTGCGACTAAAGTATTTAGAAGAAAATAAATTGGAAAAAACAGAAAAGTTCAACTACATTATCAAAATACAAATTTCACCACAAAATGGTATAATATCACAATGGTTAACACATACTACATTACAGTAGTAGAAAACATAGTCCTGCAAACTTGCCATTTGCAACAACTGAACACCATACCAGTGGCACCACCAACACTAACCAACTAGTAGTTGAACAATGGGTTCGTAGGAAAAACTTTCGTACAGGTCTTATCTTCCATTAGACATTTCTGAAGATGCAATAACTGTCATAATCATAATTGCTGGTATTCTTACATACGATATAAATGCATATTTGTGTAGCCCGTTGTGATACCAACAAAAGAAACTTGGATAGTAGTTTAGAAGAGGCAAGAGGTTGACATGGCTGTTGAAAGAACTGATTCTAGCACCGTAATTACCTTATTCAGTAAATATTCGTTAAGCTACCATATATTTATTAGATACAGTATGTTTTTTTTTCATACAGTAGGACAGGGAAAGTGGTGCTGCCTTATTTTGAGGGGTCATCTTATCCAGCAAATATAGGCCTAAATCTGAGTTACACCTCAAAATTTTAGGGGTCGACCTATGAACCGGATTGACTTGTACTCCGGCATATACAGTACGTATATTTAAAAATGGTTAAAAAATAAAAGGCACAATTAATTGAAAACAAGTAATAATATAGCTAAAGATGGCCCCTTTAATTCCAGTTTATCACCATTCAAATTTGTTAGGTTTCTCTAATTTGAAGACTGTTCGTAATATTTCTGGTTAATTTACATCTCTCTTACCATATGTGGTAAACAACCACCCCACTCACTATTCTCCCTTCCTCACTCCCGGAATACTGGCCAAGCAACAGCAGGCACATGCAGTAGTTGCCATAGATTTAATTTGTGCCATAGTTATTGACTCGACATTCTCCTTTTCTCTCGCATATTTTGCCATTTGTAAAACCATGAACATACATTTCTTGATAATTTTTGTGACTTTTTAATATAATTTGAATCCCTTCATTTGCCATGTGAAGGAAATGATTCCATGTAAAAATTAAGAACAGAATTTAGTCAGGCTTTGAAATTACAGGAATGGAAGTTTTCCCATATATTAAAGTTTGATTAATTTTACATTAATTTTATTCAATAATAAAATCTGTCATTGTGCTTTACATTTCAAATAGTATGAACGAAGCTGATGTGTGAATACTACTCTCGACAACACTGATGCACAGTTTACCAGTACACCCAGCTGTGTTCCATTTCTTATCTAGAAATGCTCCCTTGCCTCACTCAATTGCTTTCTTTCAGCTATTATGTACAATACCTTTTCTGCATCACTATAAAAACTTAACGCTCTTTATCACGAAGAAAAAAAGGTATGTACTGTATATTATTATTTATTTTCTGGGGGTACCCCTTGTGGCTTCCTGAAACTAATATACTGATATTGTGCCAAACTATAAGGTGCCGTCAATCGCAAAGTTCTTAATGGTCTACCAGGGACCACAAGCCAGAACTTGACCCCCTCCGGCACAGGGAGTAGTGACACTATGAAAAATTATATGTAAATTTATTCATGTGTGTGTCATCACCAAGGGAAGGCACACAGAAAGTTAGTGAAACAAAACAGACCAAGGCTAGGTTAAAAATAATACAGTAGCCTCAAAACAGCCTAAAAAATGCCCTCCAACAATGTGAGCTCATTTGCCACCCCTCCCAACACTGTTTGTGGGGGAGGAAGGAGGCATATCAGGTCAGCCGGCTGTTCTACCACCAGTTCTTGTGCTGATGTAGACAGTGCCTGGTTGCCCTCTCAAATCTCTCTGGCTCCGGTCATTGTCTTCAGCTAAGTGGTGCTTGCCATTGAGGCTGTTCTGTAAACCATGTTCTGTCCATGCTATACACCATGTGTACAGCATGGTCGTATATTTCGTGGCCCTAGGATTCTTCATCATCTTGATTCTTGCGGTGCTTCCTCCTCTGTGGTTAGTGTCCTTTGTGCAGCATGAGCCAGGAGTTATATGTGCTCAGGGTTACATTTAGGTAATGTCCAATGTCCTCGCCGATGGTCTGTTCCAGTTTCTTCTTGTCTCCACTGAATAGACACTTGACGTTGCTTCCTTCTTTGGCTTTGTAGGAAGTTCAGATGCCCAGATGTCAACCTCTTCATGTTGGCCTGGTCTAGGCACCTACCTTTTTACATGGCGTCATTCCCTGACTGCACAGCGCTTACTGTAGGCACCTTTCAGCTGGACAGGTTGAGGTGGGGGTGCATTTACCTTTTTCCCCAGTCTGGCCCTATAGGGGGAGCGTAATCTTTCTAGCTCCTTGGTGGCCAGACCAGCCTTGGTTTCAGCTGCTGTTTGCTGTGTCCAAACCCGGGCATCTTTCTACGGCTTTGCATTTTTCAGCCGGTTGGACCGATTTACTATGTTAGATCGACCTTCTCCACTCTTCGCGTCTAGAGATTTTGACGAGTGTCCATTGCCATTTGTATGGGGATCAGGTGGCTGGTTTAATGGTGTGCCACCTGCAGTCTTCTTCTAGGCAACATTATGAGGTTTCTTGGTGTGTCTTCTGATATTTTTTGCGGCATTAGTAGAGCCACTCCAGCTTGCATTCGGGGTCAATACCTCTTCAGCCCTATTTCACAAGCTTTCTCACCCATTGTTTTACCTCTAGTCTGCTCATGCACGGCCTGAGCTTGCCTGGTCCCATGACCGGGTTCTTTCTTTTCGCTCAGTTTACAGTGGCCCCTTTAGTCCGGGTATTGTTTTTTGAAAGCTTTATTTTTTCTTTCTCTGGTTCCTTGTGTTGGGTGGGTGAGATCTATGCTCTTTCAGTGTCAGGGTTTTTGTTACTTTCGCCTTGGTGGGAGCTGAGTTTTGTTTGTTTGCAGCTGGCACCTCCTTTTCTGGAGAAGAACAAGTTGGTTCGCTTCCAGAGGGGTCCCTTGGTCGTAGACGTTTAGTTGGTTTAGCTGGGGATGCATCATGTGCTTTGTCCAGTGGAAGCTTTATGCCATTATCTTTGTACCACCGGTTCCTTTTTTAGTGGTCTCTTTGTGGGTTGATCGGTTTCCCTGGTTCCTTCTTCCAGAGCTTGTATTTCTCAGGTTGTCTGCAGTGTCATTAAATCTATCCAGCCTGCCCATGATGTGCAAATATGCAGCTTTGTCAACTGTCTCGGCTCATATGTCTTGGGCTGATATTTGGGCATGGGGGTTTTGGCGGTCGAACAGTGGCTTGGCAGCCAGGTACCTTGTGAATGTTCCTGGTCCTCAAAGGCCTTATGTGGCCTTGTTTCTTACTTCTCTGTGGGTAGATAGCTTCATGGAAACCTCAAGGGGCTCCCCCTCAGGAAACCAGTGTTGAATGTAATGAAATGAGCCCTAGCGGGTCTTGACATCCTCCCCTTCCCCAGGGTTTCAGGGTGATTTCCATCATCAGAAGAACTGGTGGTGGAGCATCCGGCTGACCCGATCTGCCTCCCTCCTTTTTCCAAACCAGAGGAGGGTGGGGAGGTGAACTGCTCATGCTAGTTTTACAAATTTTTGATAGTTTGTTTAAATTGTTGGGGAAGTTTCTTGGATAATTTTGAGGCTGCAGTATGGTTTTCAGCCAAGTAGCAAGTAGTGGTCTGTTTTGCCGATTTTTTGGGCGATTCCCTTGATAGTGGCAGACATGAATAAATTTACACAAATTGTCATGATGCCAGTGCTCCCTGTGCCCCTCTCTGAGGGAGGCCAGATTCTGACTCGTGGTCCCCAGTAGGCCAATAAGAACTTCGCAATTGATGGCACCTAGTAGTTTGCCATTATATGTAGCTTCAGGGAGCCACCGGGGCTCACCCAGAAATTGGCGTTTCATTACATTGAACGTTAAGTTTTTTTTACCCATTTCCAAAAGTGTTGTGCTATTTTTAATTGTTCACATCTCACAACTTTTTTATCCTTCATTTCCATGTTCATCAGCTTCTTATACATCTAGCAGATTTATTGCTGTTTTGCATTTTTGCAACATTATAAATTTAAACAGCCTATTCTTTTTTTTCATATGTTGTATTTGTAAGTGTTTCTTAAATTAAACATTCTGCTTTATTTTATTAATATCTGTACACTAGACTTGATTTTTATGCAACACAATCGTACTTGATTCACTTTTACACAATAAATGTTTAGTTAAAAAAAAAAAAGTTCATCATGAGTCAACATGGTTATTTGGCTCGGTACGCTTGGCACAATCAATGAATTCTGTTATTGTTAGAACTTTATTCATCCAAATCTTACATAATACTTTTATCTTAATACTGTTTTACAGTTCATAAGAAAAGCTACTTCCAAAAATAAGCATTTTGGATGTTATAAAGCCATTGAGTATAATTAAAAACTGTTTTGTGTTTGGTTTAGTTTTGAGTTTGACAAAAAATCTAAGATTTCTCTCAATTAACATCTCAAGTGGATGGAAAGTCAATAGGTTTTACTCTTCTCAGAACATTATCTGGTCAGATGCACCTAATATTGCTTTAAAATTACTTTAATATTGAATTTCATGAAGTATTTATCCAAAGAAAAGCTTAATAGGCATGGTAAAGTCATTTACAATATTTCCAAAAATACCTTACAGCTGGTTTAAATTTTGTGTTGAAAAATTAAAATTTCTTAAACTTCTCTCTTGCCTTATTATAGTATATTATCAACAAATGTATTTTTTCAGTACCTGTACACTGTATATACCTTATTTTTTTGTTATGTATATAGCAGTTGATTATCTCAGAAAACATTTTGATCTAAACCAAAATAAATCAGGAAATTTACACCAAGTTTGGATTGACACAGAGTCAAATATATCACCACACAAAATTTCAAATCTACTTAGTATTGCATTCAGGATTTTGGATATTGATATACTTTTCTTTTCCCTATCATAATTCAGATTTTTTTTATTTATTATATATTCTGAATAATCCTAATTCCTGATTAACCCCTTCACTTTTGAGCATGTTAATACTTACGGGGGAGGGAGAAGTAACTCTTGCCTCTAGCTATGCTCATAGATTTAATTATCTACCAGCTGGTTTGTGCCTAAAAACTTAATGAAACATCTCATAGTGCTTATATAAACTCGTGTGTGGCAATCCTGTCAGCCACTTGGACAAAATTCTATATATAATCTGCCTACAAGGCAATAAACTGGAAGAGTGCATGGTGAAATGTTCGTGGTAGCTTTACAAAAGTTTGCTGTTGTACAAGAATCATAGATTTGACTTTGTGTATATACTTCATGAAAAATATAGACTTTCATAGTTATTGTTTATATGGTAAATATTGTAGGACAGTTTAACATGAGATATAGTAGTACTGTACAGTAATTAAAACAAATTTGCAATATATTTTGTAATTATTGCATCACATTTGAACGAAGCGGGTGTCACATTCCCGAGCCTAGTGAGAGGTGCTGTCGAATGTCTGGATTTTCATTTTTTTTTTTATTATAGTATTTACAATTCTACTGTATGTACATAATGAATAAAGGCTGATTTTGCCTCCAGAACAATAATTATGTCTTTCAACCTTATCATACCCTTCAACACTTCCCCACACTCTGGAGAAGACTGGCCATTGTCTCTTCAAGCAGGGAAGAGGCTATAGTAATGTGAAATTATCCAAACAATACAAATTTGTGTATTTGCTAAAAAAAATTATGGAGGTTTTAAAGTTATTATGTATACAAATTTGGTAGAAACTTACAGTAATATAGAAAAATTTGCAGAACTTGTTATAGGGTAACATACAGTATGTAATAATTGTCTCCAATGAGGGCTATTACTCATCTGGCATGAGGTGGAAATTAGCTGTTGCAAAACCAATATTTTAGGATTTGTAAAGTTAACTAACCTGGAATTTTTTACTTGCACAGATTTTAATTACAACAGTTTTCTGTGGGGAGCCCCTTCGACTTCCTAGAGCTATCGGGCTAACGTGTGATATATTAGACTGGGGCATTAGTCTAAGGAGTTCAACCTACTGGGGACCACGAGCCAGAACCTGGCCCCCTCTGAGAGGTAGCAGGGAGCAATGGCCCTGGAAGAGCCCCCCCTGTGTGGGGTTTTCTTTATCTGCCATTGATTGGAGTTAAGCACCCAGAAAGGTAGGCATAACTAAACAAACCCCACATGGTACAGTAAGAAAAGTTTCTTACTGTACCATGTAAGTACAGTAAGAACTTACTGTTCTTACCGTTCAGTTCATATCTGCGGAGTGTCCAACGTCCTTGTGGACGGCCTGTCTCGGTTCATTCCCCTGTCTATGGAATGAATGGTTGATGCCGACTCCTTCTACTGGCTCTGCCGGACGTACGGATTCCAAGACGTGGACCTCTTCACATCGACATGGTCTCGGCATCTCCTGATCTACATAGCACCCTTCTCCGACTGTGAGGCTGTCGCACTGGACACTTTTCAGCAGAACTGGTCAAGGTGGGGTTACCTGTACCTCTTCTTCCCTGGTCCAGCTGTTGCTTCAGGTTCTAGCTCAGTTGGAGTCCTACCAAGGGAAACTAGTCCTCATGGCCGGCCCAGCCTTGTTCCAGGCTCTGCTTGCTCAGTGTGCGAACCCGGGACATTTCTGAAGCTCTACCTCTTCCAGCGGGTTGGGCTGGTCCGGTACATCACTGGTTCGTTTTTTCCACTGCTCTTTGTGTCTGGTCTTTTTGATGCAGGCTTATCACCATTTGTATAATGATCAGGTGGCTTTGTTGATGGTGTCCCACCTGCGAGCTTCGTCTCAGCGGCAGTATGAAGTTTCCTGGCGTTCTTTCCGCCATTTTCTCTCTTCATAGGCTGGCTTCTATTTCTGTTGGCTGGTCCTTTCTATCTTGGCTTTTTCATAACTGTCATTTGATGCCTAATACTGTCGCCTCATATCATGAGGCGCTGGCAGAGCTGCTCCAGCTTGCATTCGGGGTGAATGTCACTTCTGTCCTTTTCTGTAAGCTTTCTCGTGCTTTGTTTCACCCCTGGCCTGTTCATGCGCCCGATGAGCCATCCTGGTCCTTGGACAGAGTGCTCTCCTATCTTTCCTCTCCTCGGTTTGTAGTGGCCCCTTCAGTTCAAGATTTTTTCAAAGGCTCTGTTTTTGTTGGCATTGGCCTCTGGGGGTCAGGTCGGTGAGCTTCATGCTCTCCTCCGGCGCAGGGGTTTCTGTCCTTTCGGTCCTGGTAGTTGGTTTGTTCGGCTGCAGCTTTCTCCTTCTTTTCTGGGAAGAACAAGATGACTGTTTTCCGAAGGGGTCCTTGGGTCATTGATGCTTGGTCGGTCAAGCCGGGGGTGCATCATGTGTTGTGTCCGGTTGCAGCTCTTCGCCGTTATCTGCACGCTTCGGCTTCGGTGGCTGGAGATGTGCTTTGGGTTGATCCAGTTTCCTTCATTCCCTGTTCCAGGGTTTGGCTCTCCCAGGTCGTCCGCAGGGTTATTAGAGCTAGCCAGCGGTCTATCCTCGTGCCCATAATGTTGGGAAGTTTGCTGCTTTGGGGGCTTTGTATTGCAACATGTCCTGGGCTGATATTCGGGCACTGGGATTTTTCGCATTGTTTGATGCTTAGGTTCCGAACTGGAGTGCTGGGTAGCCGGTGCTGGGAGGGGAGGGCTGCACGGATGACCAGCGCGACAGTAGAGTTTGACATTTGCTTGTTTACTTGTTTCCTTGGGATTAGAGGGAGTTTTACCTCTCTTTTTGGATTTTTGTTGTACTTTTCTTACAATGTGGGGTTTGTTTAGTTATGCTTATCTTTCTGGGTGCCAAACCCCAGTTGATGGCAGATAAGTTTTCCAGGACCATTACTCCCTGCAACCTCGCTGAGGGGGCCAGGTTCTGGCTCGTGGTCCCCGGTAGGTCAAACTCCATAGACTAATGCCCTGATCAAATATAACATACATTAGCCCGAGAACTCCAGGGAGCATCCAGAGCTCACCCAGAAAATGGCATTTCATTACATTCAACACTGATTTTTTATAATTTTATAAGCTAATTTAATTTTATATCAATTAGGAAATTCAGCATTTTGTTTGGGAGAGATATTCATCATTGAAAGGGTTAATTATGAATCTTGATTTCTAATTAATGATTTTGCTAAGAGTATTTAATTTGCATTGTATCAGTAATTTTGTATTTCTTCGCATTCACTTTTAATCTCCATACAGCATGCTTCTTATTAAAAGAGTTAATAAACTTGACCAGTCGCCTGGTAAAGTGAAATGCCGTTTATTTGCAATGGTTGGATTTCAGTGGCTGTGTTGATCTATGAAAAAGGCATTATAGTAAGAGTTCCATTTTTGCATCTACTGTATATACATACCCAAACATTAACATCATCCTTTATATTACTGTATATTATTTAACTGTATAAATATACTGTGTGGGTATATATATATATGTCGTACCTAGTAGCCAGAACTCACTTCTCAGCCTACTATGCAAGGCCCGATTTGCCTAATAAGCCAAGTTTTCCTGAATTAATATATTTTCTCTATTTTTTTTTCTTATGAAATGATAAAGCTACCCATTTCATTATGCATGAGGTAAATTTTTTTTTATTGGCGTTAAAATTAACGTAGATATATGACCGAACCTAACCAACCCTACCTAACCTAACCTAACCTATCTTTATAGGTTAGGTTTGGTTAGGTAGCAGAAAATGTTAGGTTAGGTTAGGTAGTCGAAAAACAATTAATTCATGAAAACTTGGCTTATTAGGCAAATCGGGCCTTGCATAATAGGCTGAGAAGTGAGTTCTGGCTACTAGGTACGACATATACATATATATATATACACATATATATATATATATATATATATATATATATATATATATATATATATACGTTATATATATATATATATATATATATATATATATATATATATATATATATATATATATATATATATATATATATATATATATAATATGTATGTATGTATACAGTATGGCAATAAAGAAAGTAAATACAGCATTCAGGTATTGTGCTTGTAAAATGAACGGTGTACATTATTAAGTATAAATGAATTGTTTAAGTACGATAGTGTACTTTATATTTTTAATTAGACAAAAAAGCTTAATATGTTCTCGTCCAAACTAATATGTAGCAAGAGCATTAGTGATGAGCATTCAACTGTGGCATCTACAGCAAAGAATGTAATTTCTTCATTGTGTTAACAAGTATAATATAGTATTAACACCTTAACAGTTGTACCAATAACTAAACTAACATGCGTTTCATTTGTACTATATTTAATTAAGCGCTCAGTCTTAATGCAAAAATGGCAGAAAGCCAGATTTGGAGGATTACAACTAAGTGAGCAGATGGCTGAAACACAAGGAAAACCACTTGTAGATAATCAGTTTTGCCCGTCCCCCTCTCCTCCCCTGTAATGTTACCATAACAAGAGTGGCATCTAGAAATTTTATGCTTGTCATTTGTGTGTAATGCTGAATTTGCAAATTTTGGCCAACTACGAAGACTGTTGAATTGTGAAGTATGGTTTAACGGCATTTCACTATACAGGTATATCCAACTTTACCATAAAGCCATATCCATGAGCTGTCTTTTCTATAGTTGTTTTCTCTTCGATCTAAACTATATCTTCATTGCATACACTATTCCCAATATCTTAAAATCTATATACAGTACAGTACATTCTATTAGTGTTTTATTTAATCCTAATACTGCCTTTTCCAGGAGGGAGCTCTCAGTGGCTCTCTATGCCTTAGATCAGTACACCAGGCCTGAGACCCTTCCATGTCCTACGTGAGCTAAGGCCAGAGTCTGGCTCAAGTGACTAAGTAGGGGGAACCGAGCATCAGAGATCAACCACAAGACTAGGGAAAACTCGCCAGAAAGCTTATGCACAACAAAACTAATTACAAGGAAATTAGGCATCCCTGGGTAAACAAGGCATTTAAATGATCATTGCTAAAGGATAAATACTCTGTGATTAACTTCAAGACTTCAGCAATCCAGACTGTGGACTTGTGCACCTGTTGCACTGCGCCTGTTGTTTTTGTTAAAGGCGTTAAAGATCACTTTGGCCGATGTGATCCACGGAGGCTTATGTCCTTCTTCAAGTGCTCAAATTTGGGGTTTAGTGTTTGTTTCACCCAGATGCTTCCCCATCTCCTGGCATGATGGCTCTGTGTGATGATTTGGGTAGCCATACTTTCTTGTCTCTATGGAATATATTGTCTAGCTTGGTTTTTCAGCTAGGTTATTATGGGTTCCCAATCTGACTTTGTACCTGATGCTGCTGCTGTTTGCAGTTTTCCACGCTGTGCCTCCTACAGTCCAAAATAAGGCTTCCTGGGTTAAGAAGTTCCATTTCATTGATGGTGTACTAACCTAGTTGTGCTTGCAGGGGTTGAGCTCAGGCTCTTTGGGCCTGCCTCTCAACTGTCATTTAACTTTTTTTTTTCTCTCGAGACACACACCCCAGGAAGCAGCCCATAGCAGCTATCTTAACTCCCAGGTACCTATTTGCTGTTAGGTGAACAGGTGCACA